ACACTGCACACTGGGAAAGCAGCAAGGCTGGGGAATCCCCACTGCCACCATTCTGTCAGATCCATAATATGAACCCAGGTCTCTTACATGTTTCTAGTAGCCTTTGCTTAGGGCTTATCTAACACTCGAAATGTTACAGCAGCACAGCTGCAGCTGCACTGCTGTAGAGATTCAGTGGAGACACTATGCCAACGGGATGAATTTTCCCCTCAGCATAGGTACTCTATTTCCCCAAGAGGCGGTAGGTAGATTGATGGGAGAATTCTTCCATCAACCTAGTGCTACGTACACCGAGGATTAGGTTTACTTAACCACATTGTTCAGGGGTGTGGATTTTTTACCTACTTTTTAGTGCCAACCTACCTTCTTAGTGTAGACCACCTGACACTTTAATTGCTCTGAGGTGCTACCCGTTTGCTGTCAAATGATGCTATTGTAGGCCCATTTGATGAGCTTTTCCTTCATTGTGGGACCCAGCATATCAATACCACCAGTTCCACAGTTCAAAGCCAGGCTGTATTATCGGGCAGTCTCTGAACAAAATTTTCCTATCTTTCTTTGCTACCCATGGTCATACAGTGAGGTGAAGTGAGGAGAACCCATATAGCACAAACCTAGCACCAGGTTCCTCTTCCTACTACATTCCCTGTGGCACTCTTCCTCTTCCTGACATTGTTCCATCGCAAGGCCACAAGGCATGCTATCGCCCAGGGCTCATGCATGCTACAACTCAGTGCTGAAGCCTTCATGGTAGGGAGGGATTTGAAATGCTGCGGCTTCCACTGTCATTCTAAAATGCACCACTTCCTCCTTGTGAAAGACATAGGCCAAGTCTTTTAGGCAGCACATTACTATCAAAGATTGCTACCTCGAGTGGGCTTGTCCTCCACTAATCCCTGTATATTCCGCACCACTGATGGGGTAGAATGTTGTCCACCAGTCAGAACCAATATAGGTCATTCAGCAGTGGGACTAGTCATGTTCTGAGAGACTGATAGCTCCACATGACTGCCAGAAAACCCCACTTCAGCAATATTTGAATGGGGTTACTGGGTCACTGACCATCCACAACAACAATGGTTAGAACAACCCCAGCTAGTGGCACGTTGTGAGCCTGAACCAACCTATGTGGCCTGGACGAGGTCTGGCACATTCATGGGAACAGACACTTCAGTCTAGGGGACTCTTCTGAGACTTCTGCAGGAGAAGGCCAATATTGTGTTGCTATTCCAAGCTGTGTTGTGCAAGCAGAAGCCTCACTAGAAATCAGTGGAATGAGAAAGCCAGGAGAAGTAGGAAACCAATTGTCAGCTTCTAGTGAAGAGTTCTGGTAAAGATATTAGCCATGACCATTGTGTCTACCCAATAACTGTCCCAGTTCCTACAAGGGATAGTTATTGGGCAGACACAATGGTCATGGCTAATATCTGGGATGGAAGCAGCCATGGTAAGTAAGTTAGCCTGCCTTGGATGATTGGTGGGGGGCATTAGGATATGGATTTGAGGGGACCATGGGGGCCTGGCCCATGAAAGGGAAGAAGTGAGAGAGACTGGGGACTGGAAATACGAGAGGGCAGAGGCACTGGGCCAACTTCATGGTGGATGAAAGCTGATGCAACCCTCATTGACTTCAGTGACCAGGCTGAACTGGGTGCAAACAATGAAGAAAAGGCCTCTTGCTAGAGATAGGAAGAAAATGAAAGAGGAAGATAAAGACAGAGAGAGAGAGGAGAAGCAGTGAGCAGACAGACTGGGGGAGAGACAGAAAAGTAAAGATAAAAGCAGATTAAAAAAGGGAGTGGACAGAAACAGAAAGAAAGAGTGCGGGAGTAAGGGAGGGGCAGGAACCCAGATAACCACTGGAAAAGAAAGATAAAGAGGGAGGGGGTGATGGTTTGACCAAGCTACAGGAGTGTGTTTCAAAGAGCCTTTGTCCGTGTTCAGGAAGTGCCCTGGGTGTTGGCAGCAAATGAGCTCAGCCCACTCTGGGAATTTACCTGATCCTGCTGGCTTAGGGAACAGGCATGTCTTCAATCAAAGGGCCATTCTGCCAAATGTTGCAACAAACTCTCAAAAAACCCCAAACCAAAATAAAGTCCCCCAGCGGCACCCTCTTCCCAAAACCACAGGAGGGCCAGAGATGTCCATGGGCCCTTCCTGAGTGTGCTGAGGGTATCAGTTTTTAATCACCTTGCAAACTTCTGTCTTCAATAGGAAGAGCACAAGAGGCTCCCCTTAAATGCTGCAAGCCAACAGTAGTGCTGCTCCCATGCTCTTAGTAAGGTTACTCAGTGGATCCCTTGATCCCTTAGATCCCTAGCATCTCTGCTAGCCCATCACTATGCTCTGCACGCATGGAGTTACAGGACTGAGACAGCGTCACACAGCTCAGACTCATGTTCTTTGCTAAAGTGGCTTCACCTGTAGTGTGGACAGGGCCTCAGGCAGTGGTGAGCTGGAGGGATGTGGGCTTTTCTGCTCAGCTCCGCTCAGCCTCCCGTCCTTCCTCTTCCCATTTGTCAGTTGTGTCCTGTCTGTCATGTTGTAGACCATGAGCTCGCTGGGGCAGGGACTGTCTTTTTGTTATGTGTTTGTACATGCCTAGCACCATGGGGCCCTAGTCAAGTAGGCTAACCAGACAGCAAGTGTGAAAAATCGGGACAGGGGTTGGGAGGTAATAGGAGCCTATACAAAAAAAAGCCCCAAATATCGGGATTGTCCCTATAAAATCGGGACATTTGGTCACATCAAGGTTTCTGGTTGCTACTGAAATATAAATAATAAACAATCACAACTTTATCAGTGAGGTCTAAGAGTGAAATTCACTCCTGGGCCGAGAGCTAACACCAGAGAGAGCCTTGCTCAAGACTGTTTTTAATCCTGCTCCTGTCCCACCCCGCAATACCCACTCCCACTCACTCCCGCATTGTTTCTTGCATTTCTATCCTGCTCCCACCTGCAAAAACCTTAGATCCCACAAGTCCCACAAAAGAGACAGATTCCCCCATGCTACTAAAAAAAAAATCAATTCCCCACACAAAACAGTTGGTTAAGATAGATAGATAGATAGATTAGATTAGATAGAATTCAGACACAATTTTTACCACTAAAAGAATAAAACAAATCTGCCTTAAACCATATAAAAATACTCTAACTCCTGTTGTAATAGACATCAAATCTCTTTCTATCCCTCACTTAAATTCAAGTATTAAAACCTTTATTTTTTTAAAAAGAAAATCTTGCTTTACATTGCTGAAATTTTATTTATGAGAAACTGACGAGACATTTTGTGTTTTCACACAAATTACCGCTGTCAGGTTGTTGTTTTTTTGCCCACTCAAGTCCAGCCACAACAAAGTACATTTTACTTGCTTCCACTATTATGGCAGCGGGTCCTGCAGGACCCATGGGATCCTAGTCCCACTGCAGGGGTCTAATACCAGGTATATGCACCATTCTCTTAATTCCCAAATTAGGGCTTTAATGTGATTTGTGTAGATGGGGAAATTATTCTGGAAAAAAGGTAGTGTGTGAATTTAAAGTACAACAGCTATTCTGGAGTAACTCTCTATATGGAATCTTTTAATCTGGAATAAAAGTGCCTTTTTCTGGTTTATTTTATTCACTTCCAAACTGGAATAAGAGTGTCCAAACAGAGCACTATTCCAAAATAGCTACTGTGGAATAGCTTATTCTGCAATAGGTATTTTGCTTAGTTTCCCCATATAGCCAATCCCTAATGAGGTGCATGCACCTGGTGCTGGCCCTCCCTATGTGGGTGAATGTTACCCTACATGATTAAGGCATGGAACTGAGAGATCTGAACTCTCTTCCTGGCTTTTCCATTGACTTGTGTGGCAGTGGGTAAATTGCTTCACTTCTACGTGCTCCACTTTCCCCATCTGTAAAAGTGTCTAACACCACTTACTGTCACTCCTAGGGATGCAGGGATAACTAATTCAATCGCGTTTGCAAAGCACTGAATTTGATAAAAGATCAAAGATGATCTGGAGGTGGAACCTGCTGGAGGTGGAATAGCGAGTAGACACTCTTCTTGTCTCCATTTGGGTCACAGTGAACTCTTTGCAATTGTTGTTTAGGAGTAGAGGACTGGATGTGCTCTATAGCTGAGATACTGCCAGAGGCAGACATTTCCTCACATTTTTCCAACCCAGAGACTTGAACATCCCCCAGTTTCCTTTCCTCCTCTAATTTCATGCATCTGGACGGGTCTGGTCTTCCCAGCCTTGCATCACCAGAGAATACAGACAGCTATAGATCAGTCCGACGTTACCCAGACTGGGGCTTGTCTACACCATGCAGCTTTTAGTGACAAGGCTGTGTCAACACAGCCTTGTCGCTAAATGTCAGCATGTGTAAATGAGAGCGCTCCTGCGGACAAAGCCGTGTTCACATTGCCACTTGCTTCAGCAAAACTTTTATCTTTCATGGCGGTGGGGGGGGGGAGCTTTTTAAAGTACCCATGAAAGACAAAAGTTTTGTTGACAACTTGGCAGTGTAGACAAGCCCAAGCTTGAGGTATGTTCATTACTTTTCCCTCCAAGAAGGTTTTCCATTATTGTTGGGAATCCTGGCCCATCTGGCAAGCAGAAAAACAGTGCCAATGTCACAAAGCTATCAGCGAACTTCCAAAAGAGCTTCCCAAACCCTAGTCTCATTGTGCCCAGAGAGAGGTAATGATTCAGAGGCCAGAGAAGGACTCTACATATATTAAGCATGAGATGAGTAAGTGGATGCAGCTGGAGTTTGGCAGCATTTAAAAGGATTACAGATAGAATTACTGAGGCTTGAAGAAACTGGTTAACCTTATTGTCAAGGTGACATGCATGGACTCAGGGCCTGAGAAGTTAATAAATGAGCTAATGTAAAGGTAGTTAATGGCTGGTGGGACTGCAGGGCATTCTCAGGGCAGGAATGAATTCTTCCCTTTGTCTCATTTCCTTGTTCCCTGTGCATGTCTCTCCTTGTTCTCTCCTCACCATTGCCTCCCTGCCCCTTTTTTTCTTCAGTCTCCTGGATGTTCTGAAGACTTTCATCTCCTTCCACATTCTATTCTTGCTCAAGAGGTGTTTCAGCGGGTGTGCTGTGGAGAGGGAGCTGCGTGTTAGGGATTAGTGAGAAGGATGCACTTTCCTAGATTCATAGGTTTTAAAGCCAGAAAGAGGGACCATTATGATCACCCAGTCTAACCTGTTTGAACACACACTGGCTGACCCACTCACACTATGACGATCCTGTCCCAGAGAAGTGGATCTGAATGGTACTATCACACCAGGCACATAATAATATTGTTACCAAGCAGCTAGTCAATGTTTGGGGCCCTGAGAATGTTCCAGTTTGGAGTAGAAATTGATGACAGAGTCTGGTATTTTCTTTGATACAATCTTGTTTCTTTACAAGGAATTTACATCCTGCTTCTCCACAGGCAGGAGGAATCAAAATATAAACAGTTTCTTAGCTCACAGGCTCAAACTTCTTTCATCCAGCACCCCCTATCCAGAATCTTTCTCAACGCTTTTTCCAGGGTCACACTTAGTTTACAGGCTGCTGCTTGGCTTGCTTTCTCTGCTCTCTATGGACATGTCTACATTGCAATAAAACACCCACACCTGGCCCATGTCAGCTGACTTGGGCTCGCAGGGCTAGGGCTGCAGGGCTACAAAACTGCAGTATGGATGTTCAGGCTCGGGCTGGAGCCTAAGTTCTGGACGTGGGTCTCAGAGCCTGCAGCCTGAAGCCAAGCTAGCAGACATGGACTCTGAGACTCAGTGCCACGGGTTTTTTATCGCAGTGTAGACATCCCCTATGAGGCCTCCTGTCCACCAGGTTTTGATCTGCCAAGGCACCTGTGGTCATCTCTCAACCAATTTCAAACAGGACAGGGTAACTGTATGGCCAATCTCTTTAAATGGGGTTTATCTAATGACCCGCGATGCAGCTGCGGTCAACTTCAGACTATGTCGCATACCAGTGTTGAGTGCCCAACTGACTTATTTCGACGGCCGGCTACTGGCTCTTCACCTGGCTGATGATGATGCCATTAAATGGCTGGGCACATTGCGTGTACTGATGATGATGATTAGGCCTTGTTTTAGGTGTGACTCCATAACTGTCCCTTACAGCAATCTTAAGGGAAGGGCACATTCGTACATCAGTTTCAGTGCAGTTTTAATTAAACTCAGAACAAGGTTTAACCCAGCTCATAACAATATTCTACCTTAAATCTTTTGCACTCCAATAGTAGCCACTTCTAGAACATGGACTTCATTATCCCCTGCCTGACCTGCAGCAGAATGCGGCTGTGCAGTCATGAATAAACTCAGATGCCATACCACCTCATCATCAGTAATGAAGGGACAAACATCATTATCATTTTATGTAATGGAACCCCTACCAGCCTTATTAGCAGAGATGAATTAATAACTCATAGTGACTAGTCCAGTGGTTCCCAAATTGTGATCTGTGCAGAACTGGCTGGTCACACGGTCCTGCCTCCTCTTGATTTTTTCCAGCTACTGAATCCCATTAAAAGGCAGCTAAAGATACATGAAATAATGTCCTAATGTTACAGTTATACATAATTTATTACTGTAGCTGCCAGAGTAATGTTATGAGACCACAAAGAGCAGTGGGCTGCATGACAGCCAATCAGAGAGGACAGGGTCCAAGAGACAATCACTCTTTAAAGATGTAGTCCACAATGTAAAAAGTTTGAGAACCCCTGACTTATTAAATGAATTCATCTCCTCGTTTTGTGTTCACAAATTGCCTGCAGTTTCAGCTTTCCTTTAATTTGTTACTCAAAACTGTTCACTGAATAACTTCTGTAAATAATTCTTGGTTCCTTGATAAGTCAGGAATGGTTAATTTTAACATAATAATTAGCATTGATAAGCTGTCATCGAGGTGCACTCTGCTATTTGAAGGAGTGACTTGTAGCTATGACACTGGACTGATACTCAGGAGATTGGGGTTCAGTTCCAAGTTCTGCCACAGAATTCCTTGTGTGACCTTATCTCATGCCATTTAACTTCCCTGTGCCTCCATGACCCATTTGTAAACTGGGGGCAATAATTCCGCCCTAGTTATTCGACTGCAAGTTTTGTTGAGCCAGACGCTGGCTCTCACTGTGCGTCTGTGCAGTGGCTAGCACAATGGGCTGTGATCACAGCTGGAGCCTCCTAGATAACATAATCTACATAATATAGACATAATACAGACATGCCCCTCAGATGAGTGTTACGTATATACGCAAACAGAGACAATGACCAAATATTATAAAATTTAATTGTGTCTAGCACTGGAATAGCTATTGTATGGGGACAATCCCCCACAGGCAAAGGCTGGAGTGCATGTTCTAATAGGATATATCTGCCACTAACATCATCCATGATTTAGTAGAAAGTGGATCATAACTTTAAAGTTAACCCAAGCAGGAGAATAAATCATTAATCCATTAGTGTGCGGCTTTTCTCTCTCATGCCCTGCCCAGTTCTCATCATGGCCAAGCCTTTTGGAGATCCCACTGCCTCATGCTTCATTTAATGAGCAGCAGGCTTGGGATGATTGGCTGGCTTGGCTGCAGTAACTCTTGGAGCATGGCCCAGGGTCAAAGTGAGACGTCAGGAGATTCTCATAATTAGCCATCTTACCATGAAGGCGTTTCAAAGAAAAACAACAACAAGAGAAAGAGCCCTTTGTGAGTGAGATCTTGGGCAAGGGACCAGCCAGCTTGGCTGGGGTGGAGGCATCATTGATGTTTCTTCTTCACTGCTGAGACCAAGGGAGAAGTAACAGGAGTGGGAGAGAAATCCCCATTGAAGGACTTCTGGCAGGGATTCTCAAAAGCTCTCACTCCGTGTTTGGCCTAGTTCTGCACCCATTGAAGAGCATGGTGTGACAAAGCTCTGTCCTTGCCTCCATGGGTCCCATGTTTCCTGGTGGATTTCACTAGCCTCAGAGGCTCACTGTGACCCTCCACGTAACCCTTCTCTCTCTAGAGACAAGGGTCACAGTCTACTGAGCCATTTTCATCATAAGTCAGCGAGGGAGGTGAGGAGAAGTTATCCTTCCTTGCACAGTCTCTGTTGTCTCCCCAGTCTCAGTGATTAATCAGGGGGCAAAGGTGGGGGGGAGAGCCCAGGCCAACCCTCTACTCCGGGCTCCAGCCCAGGGACCCTAATAGTATCAGTTATGGTAGCTGACGTTTTAGAAACATAACACGTACAATTCCCTGGGCTACTTCCCCCACAGCAGCCCTCACTTCCCCAAGCTCTACTTCACCCTTACCTCAGGGCCTCCTTCCTTGTGCCTGATATGGTGTGTACTACTCAGCCTCTCCAACAGCGCAACTTCCTCCCACGGCTCCTGACATGCACACCCACCTGACTGACTGGGAGGCTTTTAACTAGTTTCAGCAAGCCCCTGACTGGCTTCAGGTGCCCCAATCAATCTAGCCTTCTCCCTGCCTTCTGGAAAGTTCTTAATTGGCCTCAGGTGTCTTAATTGACCTGGAGCAGCTGCCATTTCACTTATCCTGGTACCAGGGATTGGTTTAGCCTGGAGCTAATATATCTATCTCCCACTACTTTTCCATAGCCATCTGGCCTTGCCTCGTCACAATGGTAAGACTGCTGGTGACATCAAGAGGGGTCAAGTTAGGCCAATGCTCAATGCTCTGAAAACCGCGCCAATATTAACCCCAGTTTATCGCTACAGGAGACTTTACAACATCAGAGTGACACTCCCAGAAAGGCCAGGGCCTGCTTCTATGAGGCTCTGAGTGCTCTGATCTGACCCTGGCGTCAGTGCGAGGTGTGGGCTATCTGCACCTCACAGGATCAGACCACCGGTATGTGCCAAGGATTACAGATGGGTTTCCTGACTGAATTTTAGTTGGACACCTTCCACACCTGTCACCTGAACATAGCAGCTGTTGCGGCAGAATCAGAACAGTTTAGCTGGGTGCCAAAGTCCCCAGACTGCAAACAGCTCATGGAAAGCCTCCTCTGGAATAAGTGCTAAGTACCTGGGTTATAGCCAGTTTCTACAGGACCTGGGGTGGGAGGTCCAAGCAGAGGCCAGCTTCCAGCAGTAGCCCAGTCCCCCAGTGACCCCCTGCAGTGCCATTCCAGCAGTTCTGCTCCTTCTCCAGATGCATGAATGCCTCCTCTTGCCCCCCCTCACACATACTCACCTTGTTTCTCCCCCAGGGGACAAGCTCAAGGAGGCTGCATACTGCTGGAGGCTAGACCCTGAGGGTTGGCAGCCCTATGGATTTGGGTGAAAATCAGAAAAGCTGAAAGCAGGAAATGGAGGCATCTGGTTAGCAGAGCTAGCAGCTTCAAACACCTGTGTCATTTTCTACAGACCAAAGGACCTGCTGATAGCAGCCATTAATACCTTCCAGCATAATAACACCCTCATCTCAGCATTAATACCTTCCAGCATAATAACACCCTCAACTGCCCTTCCTCCCAATACAGTTTTAAGATGTTGTCACACTGAAGGAGAAAGGGGTGGGGCAGGACAGAGGAATGAGGAGGTAAGGGAGTTTGCAAATAGAGCCCCTGGCATGAGGCAGAGAATGGGGGACCCCGGCATGGGAAGAAGGTGGCACACAGATCTCCTGGTGGGGGAAGAATGGGGGATCCTGGTGGGTGGAGAAAGGGAGGAATGGGGGTAAAGAGAGTTCATACAGAGCCTCAGGTATGGGAGCAGAGAATGAGGGATGTTGGCATGGGGGAGAGTGGTGGGGGGCACACAGAGCCCCTGAGGTTGGGGAGAATGGGTGACTGTGGCAGGGGAAAATGGGGGGTGTAGTCAAAAGACAGAGCCTGAAGCATGGACCTGGTGCAAGACCTGAGGTCTGAACCAAAGTTATGCTATGAGCAAAAGTCAGGCCCTGTCAAAATGCAGATGCTTGCCTTCAAGTTCAGTGTCTGGTACATGAAGTTACAGATTCAGTGGCTAAAACACATAGAATTATGTAAACACATTCCAGCAGGCAAGTGCATGGACACCCCAACCTAGTACATTCTGGGTTGTCAGAAGGGATGAACAGGGATGTGTTGTCTGAAACATCAGGAGTAAAGTACAAAGTCAGGTGGTGAATAGGGATGTTTTATCTGAAGCATCAGGAGACAGGTACAAGGGGAGGTAACAAACATGTCATGAAACACGTGAGATGGGAGGTAAATTGTTTATCCCAGATTGTTTGTCTCAGTCTGTAAATGTTGGAAAGCCTCATCTTAACCTTTCGTCGGGCATACAGGGAGATGGAAAGTCCCACTGGTTTCTGAGCTAGTCCATTGTAACAGGCATACGTGTGTTAGTGTACCAGCAGCACATCTAGGGCACTAGGACCATGCTTTGTTAATAATGAACCTGGCCAAATGCCTTCACCACCGAACTGTGTCTGTGGTGGTCTCTTTGGGCAGTTTGATCAAGGTGTGCTGGGTCGGCTACCTGGCCAGAAGTGGCACAGCCCACAGAGAGAACTAACTGACAACAGAGGAATGAGGGGAAGGGGGCACAGGTAGAATGAGGGGCATGGGGAGTGGCTGGGAGGAATGGGGGACACAGAGCCCCTGGCATGAGGGCAGGTGCGTGGGGGAGTTCCTGCAATAGAGGGGGATAGGAGGATGGCATACAGGGAGCTTGTGGGGGGGATGGAAGGAGTGCAAGGAGCCCCTGGTGTGTGCTGTGAGCTCAGTGGACAGAAGCAATAAAGTGTGTGACTCCCTCGTATTTTTTACACACATTTACACACATTTTTTTAGAGGGAGGCAGGGAACCTTTCTAAAAATGGAAGCAGAAAAAACATCCCCAAAACACAAAACTTCTGAAAATCTGAAGAAAGAAACAAGGCCAGGATGCAACATGGCAGAGCAGAACCAGACCCCAATATGCCTAGCTAAAAAATGCAAAGCGAGACTCAGCTGTTGTGCAGCAAGTATAAGGAGGAGAAAAATCACATCCTTGTCTGGCTAGATGCCATGAAATGAGAACAATTCACTCACGTAGGTCTTGGTTTCTGCGGCAATGGCATGCCAAATATTGCTCAATGCTACTAATTGAATGACAGCTAGAAGGCAAAGCTATATCGGGGTTTACTTATCTCAGTAGCTAATAAGATTGTCTGATGTGCATATTTCATATTTTGGGTGTCCAAAATGCCAGCCAGTATACTTGAGTTTTGCACTCATAAGGGCGGTTATTTCTCTGCAGGATGGTGCTTCCCTTCAGAAGCCTGGCGGCCATGGAAATGCACTGCAGGATTCTGGTAGATTTCAGTTTTTTAAAGCCTTTAAAGTTCTCTTCAGAGATGGAGTGTTAACCCTGGTGTCTTGGGTAATTTCCAAGTCAGGAAAATGGACTCTGGCTTCCTAAATTCTCCCTGCTGTCAGGGTTTTCGTATCACGAACTGGGCTGAGACAACTGCTTTTTGAGGAAAGGGCTGTTTTTGTGGTTAGAGCATGGGCCTGGGACTCAGGAGATCACATTCAATTCTGGGCTCTGCCACAGATTTTGTGTGTAACCTTGGGCAAGTCAAGGGTCTACTGGGTGCTGAGGACTTCTAAAAAAAAAATGGCCAGTTCTTTTTGGTGCCTAAGGGACAGCTGAGTTCTTCTGAAAATCAGCCATTAATCTCTCTTTGTCCAAAATGGGGATGATTATTCTAACATTGCTCACAGCAGGGTTATGAGGAACTAAGCTGTCAATGTTTACAAAGTATTTTGAAATCCCCTGGTGAAAAGCTTGGTTTCTAAGCAGACCATTGTTTTCAGATGGGTTCAGCCAATCAAGCTCTATGCCTTGGTACTTCACATTGGTTGATTTTCTTTCTCCAGATGAATTCACTGGATACAATCCTGGCTCACTGAAGGCAATGGCAAAGCTCCCTATCACAGGCTACTAGCGCATTAATCAATTTCTATAAAACACTCCATAATATATTAACACTGAGCTCTCCACCACAGGGAAGTGTAGGCCTCCTGAAATACCTTCCTGACCCCACACAAGGGGCATGATTCTCCATTGTCCTAAGACTCCTTTATGACTCCGGCACAGGGGTATGCTGTGACGACCTGAGCACTATTGTGCTCTATCTTTTCTGGCTGTTTATGAGCTTAGGGGGCCATGGACCATCTAAAAATATGTTAGAGCAAATGTGACCTAGCTGGAGAGGCTCCCAGCCAGGCCCAGAAAACTGGGAGTGCAAAGGTGTATCCCCTCTCCCCATTCATGCATCTCAGCTGGAATATAGAAGCTGGCCCAACATCTCCCAGCCTATCCTCCCACAGACTGAAATTGTCCCTCTAATTGATGCCCCCAACCCATTGTCATCCTCCACAGAAAAGCGTGGGCAATCAAATGAGGCCTGCATATTGTTCTAACCGAGTGAATGCACATCCATGGGAATTGATTCTCCAAAGTAGCGTATCCTTATGCCCAGTTTGAAAAGCAGTAACTTAGAACAAGGGGAGAAATAGTTAAGGAGAGGGATCTACAGGAAATAAACAACAAAAATGGGGTTTCAATTATTTTTGCAGCGTCGGGGGGGGGGGGGTGGCAGGAATCATATCCAGTAAAGTGTTACTGAAGTCAGAGACGTTTAGTCAGCTGTTTGATTCAGCCAGTTAAGCAATAAGCACTCCTTGCCAGTTGTTGCCAGTTGTTCCCAGTGAGCAAAGATTGTGAAATTGATTGATTGCATAAAACAGATGTTAACATTTTTGTAACCTGAAAACACACAGGCATGAAAAACACATTCCCCATGTGACTCCCACAAACTCCTCCTGCACACACGTGGATGCTAATGAAAATCAGCAACATGAATGCAACAGCGAAGATAGCCAAAAACAGCCAGACAACAAGAAGTGGTAGCTGGCCTTCTATTGGATCTCATAGAGAGCCAGCACAAGGTCTATGAACCACTTAAATCCCAACCTTGTGGGCTGAAGTGGGATTTAAGTGGTCCACAGACCTTGTACTGGCCCTCTGCACAGGAGTGGATTTCACCCTGAAAGCAAAGCACAGGACTCTGATATTTATGACCTATGTGCCTTGTAAATTGTCATCTTTATCCTCCTGGGAGCCCCATGTCAATGTCAGAGTTATGTAATGTTCCGTTTAGTCTTTTTGGTGTTATTCTCACATGTACTCTTGGCTTGTTCCTAATCCTGGATATGACTCAAACACTATCTTGAAAAAGCATCGCAATCACAATTAATCCATTCTTAGAAAGAGCTAGTAAACACCCCTTCCCTCCTGTCCATCTCCAGCAATTGGACAGGTGGAAGATAAAGGCCCTTTGGCACTTGATCAAAGCAGGAGGGGATAATCCCAGTGTCCTTGACCAGCATTCCCTCTCTCAACAAAACAGGTTCCAACGTTCAAAGCCCCATGAATCGAGTACCAAGCACAGTCTCCCCATTATGTATATACCATGCTCAGTATCATGTTATCAGTTACAGACCAGCCACCACATCCTTCTGAGCAACTCACTGTGGTTCTAGTATATAGATCCCTGCTTTGTAAAATGTTTTGTGAAACCTTAAACATGGAATGATCTAATCTAATCTAATCTATCTATTGGGTTTGTAATGTGCCAGGGGCCAATGCATGACTACAAATCAATTCTAATCTCATTTTAAAAGTTTTAAAACATTCATCAGATGTAAAGATGGGTCACACCTACCTGAAATTCATGCCCAATACAGGGGATCTGTAAAAGAGGTTAAAACAACAGTGAAAAACCCACATACACACAAACAAACAAAAAGTGTATTTAAATTTCCCTTTTCATGGCAATTTGCTGGTTTTGTTGTTGAGGCGCTAAAACTGATTTGAAAGATAATTATGCATCTACACAATATATTGCCACCGTCATTTAAAAAAGCATTTGGATAGATCCAAAGTTGGTATAAATTGGCTTAGCTTTAAAGCAGGGGTTCTCAAACTGGGGATGAGGACCCCCAGGGGGTCGCAAGGTTATTATATGGGGGGGTCGCGAGTTGTCAACTTCCACCCCAAACCCCGCTTTGCCTCCAGCATTTATAATGGTGTTAAACGTATAAAAAAGTGTTTTTAATTTATAAGGGGGGGTCGCACTCAGAGGCTTCCTATGTGAAAGGGGTCACCTGTACAAAAGTTTGAGAACTACTGCTTTAAAGCAGTGTTAATGGATTTACACTGGCTGAGGATCTGGATCTTTAACACACTCCAGAAAAGGCATTATTTTTGCTATTGTCTTCTGGAGAATCCAGAGGAATGTTAAAATGGAAGAGACCAGAATGTAGTTTAACCCTCAGGGGAAGAACTCATAAATTACTACATCTGCATTGCTTCAGCAATAAGGATGGCCCCAGTGGTCTGTTATCCCTCACATGATGACTGGCCTGGACAGTTAAAAGTTAGAGGGGAAGAGGAGGGTAGGATGTCTTCTCCTTATCTGCAAAAAGTACAGGAGGACTTGTGGCACCTTAGAGACTAACAAATTTATGAGAGCATAAGCTTTCGTGGGCTACAGTTCACTGCATCCAATGAAGTGGGCTGTAGCTCACAGAAGCTTATGCTCAAATAAATTCGTTAGTCTCTAAGGTGCCACAAGTACTCCTGTTCTTTTGGCGGATACTGACGAACACGGCTGCTACTCTGAACCTGGTCCTTATCTGATAGATAAAGCTACAGCAGTTGTAATTGATATAAAAACCTGAGTCATATAAATAAGTGTAAAACCTCAGGGACCTGAGCAGCTGTGTTTTGTAATATGCTCCATGGAGAATAACGGGACCATAGATGTTAGTGACGGAAGAATCCCATTTGACCACCCAGTCCGTCTCCCTGTCCGCGCAGGATTATTCCTTATTGCAAATGTATTAGCACTTTTGCCAGTTTAAGGGCCTAATTTTCAGGAGACTGAAAGAGTCATGAACATTGGTGAGTGACCATTTGCCTGCTTCATCTGAACTTAAACTTGACGCAGTCACAGATGGGATTTTTCCAGTTGGATTGTGCTATTTCCAGCCCCGGAGGGATGGGCATGTGAGGAGGGTGGTGTGTGGAGGAAGGTCTCCTGCATAGAGCCTCCCTTTCCATGCTGAATGGCTGGGGTACCATCTCCACAGCATCGCCTTCCATATGAAAGCTCTTCTATTGGTGATCCAGGATGGAGCCTCCAGCACAAACTCAGGCTGAGTCAACCAGGCTTCCTCCTTCAGGCTCCCGGGTGGTTCACACACACTGAAGGAAGCAAGAGCTGCCATAAAATAGCAGAGGCTGTATCATGCTTCCTGCAGGCTCTGTGCAGCCAGAGCTTTGGCCAGTTCTGCTTGGGGCCAGTTCACCCTACAAACTATTACCATGTCTGAATAGGATAGCCAGCGATTGCAGATACTGACACGACGCTGGACACAGCTTGTCTTGGTTTACACTGATTGTTAAGTTTCAGAGGAACTTCATGTTAGCTAACAGGGTGGTTCAGACACAGTGACATTAATGTAGGGTGGCCACTCATGCACCTCCAGAATACCAGACATTCTTGTTCTACCAGGAATGGCGTGACCCCACCCCACAGGTGTGATCTCATGGGAACAGTTTGTGTGAGGTCATGTTGGTTGGGGGCAGAGCAGTGTGCTCTTCCGAAAGGCATCCCCTGTCCGTGATACTGGACAAAACCAGTTTTATCTCAGTACCGGACAGGGGTCAAAGCATTTAAAATTAGGGCTGTCCAGGTTAAAACCGGATGAATAGCCTGCCTACTTTAATGTAGACAAACCCTTTACTGATCACAGGACCATAGCCATGTCACCAGCTGATCACCAGCGTAGCTGCGTTTGGGATCAGTTGCACAAGATCCTTTCACCCCACCTCCTCTCAGACCTAGATAACACACCCCGCAAGTGGGGAGCAGCTAGCAGTGTTGCAATCTCCCCCAAAGCAAAGGGCCCTATGATTTTGGTCCGGTTTAAAACTGAACGGCAGGAGCTGAGAACAAAGGCTTCCCTAGAACACTGGCTGGGCTTGAAATTTGTACAGCCGGGATTTTGAAAGGCTCTTCGAGCCAGCAAAGCAAACATTACGAAAGAATTATTGAGTCATATAAACAAGCAACTAATTAAAACATTAAATAAATCTTACACGTACATAACCTTTCTATTTAAACACCGTCCAGGCTGGCTTGGCTCCCAGGCATCTGACCCAGTGGGCCTTATGATCCTCTTTCTGTGTGATGCAATCAAGGGCTTGCTTGGGCCTGTGTATTTTTCCTTCTTCTTCTTCTTGTTATTTATTTATGTTGTTGAATTTTGTGCTGGTGAAAGGTGCCAGTTTGAATACCGTGAAGACACACAGGTGTGGTGCAGGCAGCACCACCATGCCTCTTAGCTCTACCCAAGTATAAACTTCATAACTCTGGAGTCAGGAGAGCTGGGTTCTATCCTTGGCTCTGTCACTGGCCAGTGCAGTGACACTAGGCAAGTCACTTTGGCTTCCCGTGCCTCAATTTCCCCATTGGTAAAATGGAAGTAATGATCCTGACCTCATTTGTAAAATGCTTTGAGAGCTACTAATGCAAAACACGATGTAAGAGCTGGGTATTATTACTGTTATTCTCGACCAAATAATAACAATTATTAGAGATGGGTGCGAGAAGTAAAGTTTGAAACTGGATCCGAACTTCCCTAAAGTTTGGAGGCGTTCAGATCTGGGGTATTAAGAATAATGGTGTACCCCTCTGTAGCACCTGGAACAGCATGGCTCCAAAAGTTCAAACATCATGTGAGGCCTGAAAAAAATCAAGAAATTATTGTTTGAATCATGAGATATGTTGTAAGATCATATATTTTAAGTCCTTTTGCTCGCCTTCAGGTTTACTGTGCCTTTTTCAAGCTTCTGTCACCAACCAGGGGAGCTAGAACCATTCAAACAAACAAAGTTGACAGGCTTCAGCCTGGAGCTTTAAGAAAAGCACCAAATATTGTGAGACATAGGATCAATTTGTGAGAGTTGGAAGTACAGCTATCTGAGGGCTTTAGAAATCTGAACCGGTCAAACCTCAGAATGTCCCTGGGAAGCTGTGTTGCCAGTTCTCAAGATTTTATCACAAATCATGCACTATTCAATGGTTTTTCAAAGCTCCAGCATCCGGAATCATGATTACCTGAGAATTACAGCTTTAGTTTGGGGGGAGGAGGGTAAAGTAAGCTTCTCGCCCTTGTGGTTACAGACAGAAGCTTGGAAACATGACCCAAGTCTAAAGACACAGAAACAAGAAGAAAAAATAAATTGAGCCCCCAAATTACCATTTTTTTCAATCTCATGATTTTTGACTGCTTTACCTTCATACTAAGGTGCAACATGGAGCTACCAAGGCCCCAGGGTCTATCAGAATGGTCACTGAGAGGGCTTTGGGTCATCTCAAATTGATATTCAGGTCTGCTTCAGGCTGGCATGACAGTTAATGCATGCATGACAACATGTATCCATAAGAGTTAGCAGGAAATTCCTGGTGTGTTGCATGCAGCACAAACGCAGCCATGAGTGGCAGAACACCCCTGCCTGAGGGGGCAGAGAGTGATAATTTCATAACCTCGGCAAACATGACTGATCAGGGGCGGGGTTGAGGGTGCTCAGGAGCTGAAAGCGGGTGAGGGGAACTGGAACTGGATGGTGATGGCAGAGCTGAGGCATAGGTCCGGCAGCCAGCGGGCTCTAAGCCCCTGGACCACAAGAGAATTGTCAGTGAAAAGTGAGTAACAGACTGTCGTCATTCAGGCCATGGCACAGGGTGAGTAATGGGAGATGTCTAAGAATGCATGGATGCAGGATGGACTGGCAGTATTGCCCATTGGCTTTTCTACACCTTTTGCTATGGCTGCCTTCTTGAATGGCTACCTACCGTGCACGCTGTGTAGACCTGGGTGGCTACCTCTGCACGGGCACGGCTCTGCGCATCTCCAGCTCAGAACTGGAATTTCCAGTACTAGGAGGGACTCTGGTACCGCCTTCTCTTTTCCAGGATCCACAGCGCAGGTCGGGGAGAGGAATAGCTCAGTGGTTTGAGCATTGGCCTGCTAAACCCAAGGTTGTGAGTTCAATCCTTAAGGGGGCCATTTAGGGATCTGGGGCAAAAATTGAGGATTGGTCCTGCTTTGAGCAGGGGGTTAGACAAGATGATCTCTTGAGGTCCCTTCCAACCCTGATATTCTGTGATAACCAATCCCTGTCCTGCATTCCACCACCAGCCAAGGGATATTATCTTCCCACCAGCCACAGGGACTGCTCCTCCCAGCCAAACCCATTCCCACCACAGCAACCCACCCCAGGCAATAAAGGAACCCGTTCCCCAACCTACCATCCAGCACAGTGTGAAAGCAGGCTACCCCGTAGCTAGCCAGCTACCCTACAGCCAGACAGAAAACCCACCTGCCATTACTACTGCTGCTGTGTGGAATAGGGGCCTGGAAGGGAAGCCACCTTGAGGAACCTCGAAGTGGTGCTGAGAAGGGGAAAGCACGGTGGATTGAGGGGCACTGGGTCGGCAGGTGATTAAAGGATGGATATGTTTTCGGGGGTAGAGACAAGAATATGGGATTGATGGATTTCTTTTGGCGGGGTGGCTGGGTTGGAAGTATTACACCTAGGAGATGTCACAGGTATCACTGACTTAGGGAGTGTCTTGCGCACATCCCTGGCTCCTACAGGTTCTATTCACTCTATTCTAGAGTTTCATTTTGAGTCACAGGTTTGTCTGAACCCACGTGGCCAGAGTTGAAAATCAAAATGAAATTGGCACCTTTTGTTCACTTCTCTGGGTGACCCGAGGGTCAGTGGATTCTGGGAGTGGGGCAAAAGACCCTGTCATGTGACCAGCTGCTATATTTCATTAGGAAACCAAGCAAAACCATGTAACTCAGTCTTGAAAAGTTCACCTCAGCCCAGACACAACAGGCAGCGAGTTATATACACTCATGGTGCCTGGGCTCCAGCAATATTCCGGGCCATGGGGCCCGGCTCCACCAATGCTTGGGGCCAGGTCTCCTCCCCAGCCCCACCTGCTGCCCCTCCGCGCCTCCCCTGAGTGTCCCCCAGCCTCCCCCAGTGAGGCTACAGTGAGGGGCAGCAGCAGGGGAGGAGGTGCACATGTGATGGCAGCCCCCACTCCCGGTATCCACCACAAGGGAGACGAGGAGGCTTTCTGGACCTGAGAGGGGCCCTAGGAGCACGTGCAGTGACAGTGGTGGGGGTGAGTGTGCTGCTGGGGGAGAGGGAGAGGGGGCCCCTCCCCCAGAGCTCACTGCTGCCGGCGGGAGAGGGCTGAGGGGAGTCCTCCTCTCTGGCCCCATTCCCGGGGCAGCCTGCCTGCACCCCAAACTCATCCCCAGCCCTGCCCCACCCCAGAGCCCGCACCCCCAGCCAGAGCCCTGACCCCTCCAGCACCCCAACTTTCTGCCCCAGCCCTGAGCCTCTCCAACACCCCAAACCCCTCATCTCCAGCCCCAGACAGAGCCCTCACCCCCTGCACCCCAACCCTCTGCCCTAGCCCTGAACCCCTTCCACACCCCAAACATGTTATCCTCAGTCCCAGCCACAGCCCTCATCCCCCACACCCTAACTCTCTGCCCTAGCCCTGAGCCTCTCCAACACCCCAAACCCCCCATTCCCAGACAGAGCCCTCACCCCCCATACTCCTACCCTCTGCCCTAGCCTTGAACCTCTCCCACACCCCAAACCTCTCATCCCCAGCCACACCCCAAACCCAGCCCCATCCCTGCACCTCCTGCCTCCTCCAAACTCCCTCCCAAAGCCTGCCCGCTTCCTCCACACCCCCTCCCATCCCCAAACTCCCTCCCAAAGCCTGCACCCTGCACCCCTCCTGCATCCCAATCCCCTGCCCCAGCCCAGGGCTGGCACCCCAGACCTCCTCCCCCACCCAAACTCCCTCCCAGAACCTTGGGCAGGTAGGGGGAGAAGTTTTGGGGGGGGAGGTGGAGTTTGGGTGGGGGAGGGTTCTGGGCACCACCAAAATTTCTACAAACCTGCCACCCCTGTGTGTGTTGCTTCTTGTGCAATAAAAGCAAAGTATTTTAATGGTAACTCATCTTTATTTGTTTCCTACAAACTGAGATAGCAGGCACTACTAATACATACACAGGCAGTTTAATCATTTGCGTACAAGAATGTAAGGCCCCAGATTTCACCATTGCTTCCTAGGAAAACTACATGTAATGTAACATTGCAGCACCAATCATAGAGATATAGGTTACTGGTTCTCATTTTCAAAGTGTTGCCTCACAGCCTCCTGATTCAAATTGTCCCCTGTTGGGTCCCTCTGATAGCCCTGGTATCTGGCTGCTCAAAATCAGCAGCCAAGCGGTCTGCCTCAACACTCCCACACTGAGCAAACCTTTCACCCTTAGCTTCACAAAGATTATGCAATGTACAGCACATGGCTATGACCATGGCAATAGTATCCTCATTGAGGTCTAACCTGCCATGAAGGCATCGCCAGCATGCCTTTAATCTGCAAAAGGCACATTCCACTGTCATCCAGCACCTACTCAGCTTGTTGTTGAACCACTCCTTACTGCTGTCCAGGTTTCCCGTGTAAGGTTTCATGAGCCATGGCTGTAAGGGGTACACCGGATCTCCCAGGATCACTATGCGCATTTCAACATCCCCCACTGTAATCTTCTGGTCTGCAAAGAAAGTCCGCGTTTGTAGCTTTCTATACAGGCCAGGGTTCCTGAAGATGCGTGTGTCATGCACTTTCCCAGACCATCCCGCGTTGATGTCAGTGAAACGCCCACGGTGATCCACAAGCACCTGCAACACCATGGAGAAGTACCCCTTCCTATCGATGAACACCATTGCAAGGTGGTCTGGTGCCAAAATTGGAATATATGTGCCATCTATCGCCCCTCCAGTTAGGGAAACCCATTTCTGCAAAGCCGTCCACTATTTCACACACATTACCCAGAGTCACAGTCCTTCGTAGCAGAATGCGATTTATTGCCCTGCACACTTACATTAATGCAGCCCCAATGATCGACTTCCCGACTCCAAATTGATTCACAACCGACTGGTAGGAGTCTGAAGTCACCAGCCTCCACACAACGATTGCCATGTGCTTCTCTACTGATAGGACAGCTCTCCTTCTTGTGTCCTTGTGCCATAGAGCTAGGGCAAGCTCCGCACACAGTTCCAGGAAGATGGCTTTCCGCCTCTGAAAGTTCTGTAGACAATGTTCGTCATCCCAGACCTGCATGACGATACGATCCCACCATTCAGTGCTTGTTTCCCAAGCCCAGAAACAACGGTCCACCATCTGCAGCTGTTCTGTGAACGCCGAAAGCAATCTAAAGTTGCTCCTATCCATATCACACAGCATGTCAGGCAACTGGGAATCTTCTTATGCTCAAATAAATTTGTTAGTCTCTAAGGTGCCACAAGTCCTCCTTTTCTTTCTTCAGTTAGGAACTTCGTGATTAACTGCACGACCATCCACAATGTCTTAATGACAGTTATCAAAGCATAGGAGAGCAGTGTGGGATCCATCCCTTCTCACAAAGATGCCGGGCTGCACAGCAAACAAGGGCTGTTGAAAACTGCCGTGAAAGAAAGCTGAAAGCCCAAGGAGTGCTGGGACAGAAAACAATGCATCATGGGACATTGAGCCCGGTCCCAAGATGCGCCGTGATCTGCTCCACCTTCCCACAAGACCTACTGACAGAAGGTGTTGAGGTGGACTGTGGAATAGGTACCTACAGTGCATTGCTC